TGAAAAAAGGGCCAAATTCTCTTTAGTACCACTAGTATAATCATTTAAACCATGTTTTTGGATTCATCTTTCATACTAAAAAAAACTTATCTAAGAAAGAAATTACATATTATTCACTCTACTTTGTATAATCAAACACAATTCCATAGGAATGTAAATTTACTAGGCTTGATGTTTTATAACTAGAGGTGGTCTTGGGGTACCTGGCACCCACTGGCGGGTACCCCCCTATCCCTGATGGTATCCCCCAAATGGTGCCCGCTTTTGGGCAAAAAAAATAGGTGGTACCCAGGTACCTTTAAGGGTACCCTAATCCGCCCCCAAACCCCCTCCTTGGTGGCTCAACCAAGACCAACTGGTCTTGGCCAGGTTGCAGGCCCTCCTCAGCAACCTGATTAAGACTGTTGAGTTTTCACTTCTTTGGCCTACTATTCCCTAAAACCACCCTCCTTTTCCCTTCTCTTTTTCTGCCTTTTTTCTTCTTGAATCATCTTGACTCAGATTGAATTATCATTAATCATAGCTGTTTTTTGCATTGCATCTTATGCTCTCTTTTAGTCTAATTAGAACTCATCACAGCAATTTTCTTCTAGCAACTCTAGTCTTATTGTTTGACTTCTTTCTTTTTCTGGTCACTATTTGATTCTTTAAAATCTGATTATTGAGAATTAACGCTGTAGGACTCCTGGGACGGATAGACACGGTAAAGTATATGTATATCAAAAGATCCCTTGAGGGGGAAATAAATTGCAAATAGGTTGAAAGGCTATTACAACTTACGGGTGGTTTGAAAGACCTGCCCCTCTAATTGTACTAAACAAATAACTAAGAGTCTTGTAATCAATATTTAAGAATATGCAGCTGATTCCAAGATAGATCTTACTTTTGTAAAGTAATCTCTATCAGACCTAGATCACGTATCAATCTACTAATGAATCTGTTACAACTTCAGGTTAATAATGGAAACTGTGGCGCTTATGGTTGAGCGCAAGACAGTTGAATTTGTTATTTAGAGTTTGTTAATGATCTCTTCCTCGAACAATTTCTTGCTAAGGCACTTTAATCACAACTAGAGCTCCGGTGTTACTACTACTACTACTTGTTATTTGTTATTTGTTAATAATACTACTTAATTTCACTTTGTTATGGTTGAATGGTTCTGGTTCTACTACTTATAAATCACTGACTTTACTTAACTAATTCTCTGACACGCACACTACTAACTAATTGTGACCAACTTACTCCTGTAGGTTGATGTACTAACTTCACTAACTAACTAACTATCACTAATTCTAACTCTTCACTTTACTGACACTCCAGAACACTTCCAGTAGCTCAGGATCAAACTTACTGCTCTGAGAGACTGTTGTAGGCTGATGGGGGAAAAGAGAATCCTGGTGGAGAGAGGCCCTCCTTTTATATTGAAGAGTGAGGGATTTCTGCTTCAGGGGACTCCTTGTGAGACATTTTTGCTGCAGGTGACACACACTTGCACAGCATGATGTCATTGGTTGCTATGAAACCAAGCCATGTAGCATGTGCTGAAACCTTCCAAAGCAGTAATCCAGTACAGTATACAGTCTTATGAGATCTGTGACTTGGAAACCAAATCCACATTCCAAATGTTCTGTGTTTCATCTCAACAGATGAAGCAACAGACGAAACATCAGATGAAACACTTGCTTACTTCCTTCCTTGTTCATTCTTCAGGGTCAAAGCCTCTCCGCCTACCTTCCTTCTCCCCTCCTCATCAACTGTCTTATGTTCTTTTCCACTGATTACACAATAAATAAACCCACATTACATAACCTACCCATGCACACACCACCCCTACATATGTATACCGTATCCTGATGTTGTATGTCCTACGTAATGAATGTTCCTCCTCTTGTAATGAATGTTAAGTGTGTGTCGCTATCACCTATTCTGTATGCTTTTGGCATTGGAACAGGCACAGCACACCACAACGCCTCTCAATATTTGTGGCTTAACTTGTGGTTTCTCTTGATTAATTTTCTTGCATGAATAAAAGAGACTGAGAAGGCATGTCACATTATTTCTTTCAAGAACTGCTTTGTTTATTCCTCTCAGTTTTTATTCAAAACCCAATCTTTATTCAATTTTCTTCCAACCACTTTTTGACCATTTGTATCTAGCCTATTTAAAACATGACTAGTTGCAGATGAATAAAATTATTGTTTCTTTCACTCATTTTCTGTGAACTCTCCCAAAGAAGGTCTTCAACCTTTTTTGTGCCATTTTCTCAAAAGTCTTCAACATCAGCCGTTTCAGAGCTAGAAAATTTAACAAAGACAAATCAGGTTGCCGGTAAGGACCTTCCTTGTCAACCTGATTGGTCTCAACCAGGATTCCTGGAAGGATCTCCGGCAATCAGGCACCAAGGCCAGAGCTGCCTCAAGTACCGCTGGTACCTGCCAGATAGCACCGGGTGCGGTACCTGGTGCAATACCTGGTGCCAGCTTTTGGCTAAAAAAGCAACTGGCATCTGAGTCCCATGGGTCCATCTCTATTCATAACTCTTTATTTACTTGATGTCTTGAATGGACATTGATGATATACAAGGAGCTATTACTTTTAGCGGCTTGCTTAAATTTGTGAGACATTGGCCTCAGGAATGTCACAGGACATCCCAAGCCCCAAGAACCCAGATCCCCCTAAACTTTGAGAGTCTTTCCTGCCATTCCTGCAGTAGGAATGGAAGTAGAATTCCCAAACAAGACAATAATGAAAATAATTAGAGATGGCAGCAGGTATCCGTTTGCGGGTACCTGTTTTCCAAAGCGGGTGGTACCTGCAAACGGGTGTTGACATTTGGGAAAAAAAACAGTGGGTACCCGGGTCCTTGAAACCTGCCCTGGGAATGCTATTTTGGGCATGTTGGGCTGAATAAGGGTGTCAGCAACCCATGTAGGACACCAGTTGGTGTCCTACATGGGCCTGTTGAGGCCGGAGAGAACTCTCCGGCCTTTGAGATGGTGACAACCGGAGGAATCCCTCCAGCCATCAAGACTGTATATGGTCTTGATGACTGGAGACTGTACATTGTCTCAAGGGCCAGAGGGTTCCCTCCAGCCTCAACAGGCCCATATAAATCCTCTACACCGCAGGTACAGGCCCAGGTACCTGGGTACCTGCCCTGGTGGGTGCGGGTGTCCAAAATATTGGATTTTTGAGGCGGGTACCTGGGTATGAAGTGACATCTCTAAAAATTATCATTCCCCATAAATTAAGGTTCCAAACAGGACCCCAAAGATCCGGTGAGCTCCGTGTTGGATATATTGGATATGCTTATAGACAGCCTGTATGCTTCTACCAAAAAACAGCTTGTATATAGTCCTGTCTGACTCTGATCCAAGCCAGCTTCTTCACTGAATCTAAAACCATATTTTATCTTCTTGTCCAGTCACTGTCACAAGACCTTGCGTCTGTGACTTTCAGTTCCCTTCAAGCCTGGCTCACCTCAACACTCCGGGAAACCTGAGTACTGGTTCCAGTTTTGGGAGTGGGTTGTGGAGATCCGGCATCCGGTTGGATTCCTCCCTTCTTGGGGTAGAAGCCTCAATGGCTATCTGAGGGTTCAAAGATCTCTCAAAATTTTTTTGTTGTTGAAGATGAGACCCACAATCAAATGTGACACTGTCCTTGTGCGTTCTCTCAGCCCCAGTCCCTGGTTTCTTTTACCTCTATTTTTCAGAAAAACCTGGTTCCAACAACATTTGACTGATAGTAAAAATAAATCTGGTCGATTTCTATTCAGGATGACATCATGTTCCAAGCAACGCTGCCACAGATACGGTATCTGCCCGTATCTGCCATGTATCACTATGTATCTGAGCCCCAATAAAAAAAAATTATCTGACCAATCTGCTTTTATTTGCAAGGAGATTCAACAAATTTGGTTTTTGGCCATGCAGCTTTGCAGAATTCTCCATGATACACACAGCGTATCGTATCTGTGGCAGCGTTGTTCCAAGCACCTGACTCTACCCCATCTGCACCTGCACCATCAACTCCTCATCATTTGACCAATGCCTTCAATAGCCTCAGTACACGCTTGTCTTCTGCCTCTCTAGGCAACAGTGTGACTCATCATCAAGTTCATCAAGCCTAACCAGCCCCACCACAGCTTCCAGTCACACAATTGGCAGACTCACTCAATGAGGCCAATATACTGAAAATTGTTTCCTTTCCAGAACCTTATTGAACACGTTTATGGATCACCTCTGGGAAGATCCTTGGTTTGGCTCAAATCCGGTAAAAACTGGCACTGGTCTCAATATCCGCAGTGTCCGGGTTTGGTATGGATGAAACTGGGCTCTGAGGCACCAGTTCAGAACTTTATTATAAAGGAGAGGATACTAAGGACCCATTTGAAGGCAATGTTATGCATTATAAAACTTCAAGTTCAGCACTAGATCATGCAATAAATCCATATCAATATTTCTATATGGAGTATAGTCCCACACTAAGATATAAAATGTATGATGTATAACACTGCTGTCCACACAGGGCTTAGGCAATTTCCATTATATTTTTTATACATATACATTTCATTCATGTGATTGTGATCTGACAAAAACATTAATGAACCCATACTGTAGAGCCTAAAAGGATCTGTAATTACCAAGCACAAAAGCTGGGGTAAATATTTCAATAGCTTCCAGGTAAGAAAAAAAGGGTGTTCATGTTTCTTCACACAAGAGCAGATCAGCAAAAATGTTCCATGGATGAATTGGTGAGAGAATCATCAAACACAAAAACACACCCTAATTATCAAGGGGAAAAGAGAAAACCACCTTTCAGCTTCCACTCATAAAAGAACACAACCAGCCACCATTAAATGTACTAAAAACACACACAAACACAAGATGATTGGGTTAACAATTTTTCTTTTATATTTAAAATACACATTTTTTTTTAATAACCATACATTGTAAATTCTAGATCAAGTAGATAAAAAAACCACAAAAAATAATATAATTTAAGTTTTTCATCTCAAAGTAAGAGAGGGAAGATCAGAATTCCACAAAAAGAGTGAGTTGTATGGTGAATTTTCCTTAAGTGAAACAAGGTTTGTTCTTGTTTTTTTTTTCAGATCGAGATGTTCTGAACCTTGGAGTTGAGCGATAATTCGTCCTCCTGTTTTTTAGCCTGGAGAGCGCAGAGAGCAGCGCCAACACCAGAGCCATCTTTGGCGAGTTCGATTTCGATTTTCGTATACACCTGCTCATCGAAGAGGTCCTTCAAGCCACGTTTAAGTCTATCGATGAAGTTTTCGTAACGTTCGATAAGACTTCCATCGACGCCGATTGAGATTTTCTGATTCTTAGAGAGACTGGATGCCGAGTCAGCCTGAGTCTGTTTGATGACTGTGGCAATGGCTGCGGCGGAGAGCCGGGCGGCACGAGTGGCGACGATCTCGCAGACCCGTTTGATCACGATCCAGTCCGCCAGATTGCCGATGGCCCGATCCCCCAGCCCGAATTGGCCCCGCATCACCTCTTCGATCTTCCGCAGATGCTCCTCGCGTCCCTTCCCGCTCAAACTTAACACCCCTCCCCCATCGATCTGGCTCATCAGTGCCGTGTCAAATCCGTAGTGGCGGTTCAACTTCTCCGTCGAATGTCCTTCAAATAATACTCCTTCGTCAATCATGTCCATCAACACATTCCGCGTTAGCTCTCCTAGATACATCCCCGAGACCATCTTTTCGAACGCCTGTTTACGCGGATTGATCGACTCGCGGTCTAGCTTGTTGTCATACTTTGTCACTGGCAATACGTTTCTCTAGTGTTCACAAAACATATGAGCCTGCTCATCCGGAAAAAGAAAAACATAGTAGAGGCTAGACGAACCGAGTTATCAAACGCTCCCCATTCAGTATTGATGATCATCTTCTCCGCCTTTTGGAACGTCGGTGACTGATGCCCACTCAATTTCGTGACAGCCGATAGCCGCTCGACATACGCGGCATTAGTGCCCGTTCCGAAGATGGCTCCCACTAGTGCCGTGCCAGATTGGTATGCTCGTGCCATCAACGTTCCAGTCCTATCTCAGACAAAAGTATTTCAAAACAAAACAAAAAAACTAATCAGAATCCCGAAAAAGGAAATAAAAGCAGTATACACCAGGTAAAGGGAAAGATCTGTATCAATCAACTCACGTATCATTCACTAGGGCATTACAATGAACAGGCACTTTTTTCTTCTCCAATGCGTCCTGCAATAACTTGACGATATCAAAGCCGATCGCGCCGGAAGCTTTGAACCCCTTCACGTATTCCCCAACCAAATTAGTTAAACAGTCCAGTAGAGTAAGAAAAAAAAGTGGGGGGGGAGTTGTTTTAGAAGTATGAAAACCATACCTTCGTCCAATCCATCAATTTCCCTTCGGCCAATGCACTCTGAAGGACCGGGAAGCTGAACGTGAATCCTAGATGAAGTTTCTCGTCGTCACTTAATACATGTCCCAATTGGAGTAAGAAGGCTTTCACACAATCTGCGATGTAGTCGAACAATTCTTCTGCGGTACCCTAGACCCAAAACGAAGCCAAGAAGAAGTAGTAAATATGACACATCTTTTCTTTTCCCATCCCAACCAAATTCATCAATTTTTTCTTCTTGTTAAATTGTGATTTGGTTGGTTGTTTGGTTGGATTTTGGAGTTTTGTTAATTAATAGCTGACCGTTTTGATTTCATCTGATAGAAGATATTTGTCCGACTTGATCGAGAATGTTTTGTCCCCATTTAAACGAACTTCGCAGACTCTCAAGTTAGTCCCACCGAGATCCAACGCCAAGAACAATCCTTTTTCCTCTCCATTCGGCACGTCCTACAAGCACAGGGAGAGAATGAATAATGATATCAAGAACAGGTCTTGACTGATTCTGGCTTGAAAAATGAGGCTTACGTGAATAAACGTCGGTAACATGGGTAGGGTGACTTGGCATGATTTCTGAGTACTGTTATTCTTCGATCCACGCGATTTCTGGGTTTGATCTTCTGAGGATAAGGATGCTCCGGATTTGTGGTTCTCCTGCTTCTGTGGTGGCTGCTGCTGTTGCTGCTGATGATTAGGTGGTGCATCGTTAGTGGTGGCGGTATCAATGTGGAGAACCTGTTCCAATCCGATCTTGAATTCATTCTGGAACTGGTTGACGATCACTTGCAGCTTATCCTTATCGACATCAAATTGATCTACAGTGCAGTTTCTTGTTTGTTGATTAGCTCATTGTATATGTGTGTGTACGTACATATTAAACACTTTTATCTGGTTTTTTTAAGCGAGCATGATGCAGAAGCAAGTAAATATGTAGTACGTATCAGTATCAACATACCTTGTAAGGCTGCAAGTGCTTCAAGTTGTTTTGCTGATAAGCGATGGCTGGTCTCCGGGTCGAGCGGAGTCAGATAGGGTGCTTGCAGTTTGGCGGCCATCTTCCACTGGGAACTATGGATGTTAAGTCAAAGTGGTTGTTGCTGTTGTTGAGGTAGTTTTTCTTTGTTATTACGAATATTTTTTTGGTTGAGAGTGGTGGTCTGAAGTGGTCAACAGGGAAAGTGGTCAACAGAAGCGGTCAACAGGGAGAATGAGAAGGAGAGGGTCACAAGAGGAATGATGAAGAGTGCGTGATGGAGGTATGGCTTTATAAACTTATCTATCTTGTATGGCTTTACGCTTCACGATCGACTTAGGTAAGTCTCCTCCATCCGGGGATCGACCGGACACGGGATACAGTCATAGCATGATAGCAGGACTCACTTGGCCGGGCACCGGGCACCAGTAGGCACCAGTGCCAGCTATCCTCATCAGTCACCTCCGACAGCAGGTAATCCTACATCCTCCAGAGTCCAGTACATTGTATTCCAGCTTGAACAGTCATGAAGCTTACAATATCCCGGATTTTCCGGATAAATAAACATACTCCACTGCGGATGGTGCACACAACATGAGCCAAAGCTGGAGTCTCAATAAAAAACCTTGTCTTGTACTCCGTCGTATGAACACATGTCCAACCTGATAGGCTGATCAGCAGGCCTGGTTCAAGTCAAGTGCGCCGATTATCCTTCAATGACATACATGTTCACAGCTTTAAATATTTATGTGGACGGAAACACTTCAGAAAGCTTTTTGATCACGAGCATAATTGCAGGTGGTATGCCGGCCTAACACCAACCAAACCAAACTACGTAATAGTTTTTTTTTTTTTCTCAATCGAAACAAGTTTGTTGCCAACATCTCAAACAGCGACAGTCGCCGGCTCAAGAGTACTGAGTGGGGTATCAACATATTGATTAGTGATTACAAAGACTACTCGGAGGGCCCCGTTCGAATAATGACCTAGCTGAAGGTGTCCGACAGTCAGTACTGCATAGTTTGGCATTGCGGGCTCACTCGGAATCGGATGCAGGTCCGGCTCGGCCGTAACATCTAAAACATCCTTAATGGTCACCGGCTCGAGGTACGGGTGACGGGAAAGATCAACTACTCGGAGAGTCAGGTTCAGGCAGTGGTAAGGACAAGGTGTTCTACACGGTCGATCTTCAGCTGTCTCGCGTCAAGTGGTATAGGAACACTCCGGCTGTACGCTTAAAGCGCCAACCGGCCCCGATTGCTAAGTGGTATGATTCCTGATAAGCCTCATAAGATATTCCGGTGCAAGCTTCATGAATAGCCTACCGGCATCAGTCGTTAGGTGATATGAAAACTGCGGCTTCAACAGCTTCAACATTGAAGAGCCAACCGGGGCCGGGTGGTAAGTGGTAGGATTCTTGATGGAATCCCTTGAGTAATTTTAACTGCTACTCGGTCCAGCGCATTGTTAACACTGCAGCATCTCCATCCGGCTTCGCACTTCTCATCCCTCACATTGCATCTTGAGTCTTCTGATCTCAAGCGTAAATCTATGGTTCAAAAATTTTGAAAATTTTATCCAAAGCTAGACGTCTGTTCATACCTGCATCTCGTTCCACTCTCATAAACTCATCAAAACTCTTCCACAAGACAATGCAGATTTACAAACCCATCGTACTGTTAACCTTAATCGTATTTGAAGGGAGAGGAAAAGGGGGGAAAGAGTTGCCCAAAGTTCCCGAATGGGAAGACCCGAGTTGCAAAACACCAAAGGGAGCTCATTACTGCTACCAAGAAAGGGCAGTGAACGGGGATCAAATATATTATAGTAAGTCTATCCAAATCATTCAACAAAATTTGATTTCTAAACTCTAGCTCATCTCCAAATTTACATTGTTTGACCAATGAATTGGCATTGAAGTTACCCTTCCAGGAAGAAGAATAGGTGAACCACTATTTCCAGGAAGTCAAGCATGCAAATCCAATGGCTTTACATACACTCTGTCCTGCTGCAATGCCAAGAGGTTTGAAGCATCTGTGAGTGATTGATTTTCAGTGTATCAATATGATCTATTCATGTCTAATCATAGTGCTGATTGCTTTCAAACCTTCAGCCTGATGTGGAAAATGTGCAAAAGAAGAATAAAGACATATTTGTAACCACTAGAAGAAGTTTTAAATCTGCCTGTCCAAAAGATGCATTATGAATATCAGGGGCCGGAAGGATCATCCACAAAACAACAAGATTTAGGCCTTGTTTGGCCGTCCATGATCGTAATAGACCGTCATTGCATATCGTCAAATCAGAATCTAGGTTTGACTCTTCCAGGCTGTGCAAATGACGCAGCCTGAAAATCCATATCGATGTCGATGTGGCTGTTTGGTGCGCCTCGGGAATGGATCATCAGAACGGTGATTTAAGGGGACAGGGAGGCATGATACTGGTGAGAGGGGGTGATGTTCAGATGGGGGGTGACATAGAGTTGTTGTAAGCGAAATGAGAGGGTGGCGAGAGTGATGAAGGGTCACTTATGACGCAAAATTTTGGGGGGGACCCAAAATATCGGATTTGGCAGGGAGATATATCTCGTTGGCCACTTTCGTCATATGTGAGTGGTTATGATGGGTCCTCCCAAACGCATTCATGAGGCCCCGTCATAAGCTTCGATCCCCCGAAATATCTGCCATGATTGTTTATGACGATCATGGACAGCCAAACAAGGCCTGAATGTCATTGCTTAGCCTGAAGTAGAAGATATTTAGCAAAATGTATGAATGTATATGGAGGACAAAACCAGTCTCACCATTTGACCATCTCAGAAATCTCCTGTAATTTGACTCATTTTCCTGATAAATAAATTTGCCACCCATTGAGGCAGGCCCTCTATTCAACAGACTTATCTGAGGGAGCCCATCCCCATTTTCAGAGAGCCCTAGATCATCTCTTTATAGATACCCTGAGTCTTGAGCAATATCCCTCTCTTGACTCAGCAAAGAATATTTCCTTTGCCATCATTCATTCAAACTACATTGTGTCATCAAACATTTTCAACAAAGCTGATTTTGAAAAATCAGATTCAAACTGTTGATGCTTTCACAATCCGAGTTTCTCAGGTAAAGAAACAGTTTCCCAGAAACTGGAAGTGAGAGTTCTCACCAAAAAAAAATACCCAAAATGCCCAAGCAAAAACCAATTTATAAAAATCAGCACAATTGAACCAGATTCAAAATTCACAACTTATCACCAATAGACCAAGGAGAACTCACTCAACTGCCATCAGTTGATCACATGCAAGATACTTGAGTCCAACCCAACACAGCTTAATTAGTCAAAACTCCACATGACTCCAAAAAAAAGCTTCTGCAAAGTTACTGTGCAAAGGTGTGGACAGTGACTAGGATGAAGTAAATTCTGAGTACTAACCCAAGCTTCTTCAGAGCTTCTGCATGTCAACTCCTCAAATTTGATCTGCAAGTGAGTTCTTGTTTGATGGAGCATCCGTAGTTTTGTTGAGGGCATGGTGTTGAGAGGCGTCTCCCTTGCTCGCAGAATTCGCATCTACACACATTGTGGCTCAGCTGCTTTTGCGATTTTAATCATTGTTGGTTGTCTCCTATGTGGATTGGCCATTCCATTCTTTTTCTACTTGTCTAGAAAGAACCATCGTCTGCTATGTAACTAGCTAACACGTTACTTTCTGGTTGAATCTGGACCTGAGATATTAGGATTCCGCGGCGTTTTGAATCACTTTGTTCATAGCAGGATCCCAGTAGTACTCTTGGAGAAGCAGATTTTTATCAGCTCAATCTGCCGCTGAATCCCGGTCAAAAAGAACAGCTCGTTAATTCATCATCGAAGACTGGGGCAGGAAAAAAAGCTGGCGTCACAAGGCCAGAAATGATGAGACTAACATTACTCGTTTTTGCTTTCTATGGTTGTCAAGTGCCTAGCTCACGGCTATGCGTGATGCTTTCTGGAGCACACTCGACGCAGGTCGTTTCGACTATTGACTGCCGATGGTCCATTCTGTCTGTTTTGGATGAAAAGAAGCGTGGTCAAGAGGACCGCCAACTGGCACATCCAAAATAGCGGATCTAGTCAAAGATCCAAATCCCAGCCGCGATATACCCTAAGTGGCCGAGTTGGGCCGACAACGTCCAGTCCGGTTTGTAGGGTAGGAAATCGCCAGTTCGGAGTTGAGGTGATGACGGCATGTTTCATACTGGGTGCTACTTGCTCGGGCCAGGTGGACACACCAGTTCAACAACACAATCCTGCTTTCCTCTGTGGAGACGGGGAATCGACTGGGAACACTCAGCCTTTGCCAGAGAGCTATAAAGAGCACGACGAAAGACCATTGGTTTTTAGAAGAAGAAGATCACCCGTCCTTTGTCGTGATTTCTTACCATTAACTTGCCATTTTTACAATTTTCCTACTTATACACTGTCAATACTTTATAATAATTCTTCACTTCGCTTAACATATAGGCAATTTTTTCTTTAGATTCAACTTCTAAGCCCGGTGCTATAACTTCAACACACCCACAGATGGCATCCCACAGCACGTCCAAGACGGACATCATAGTCAAGGGTATTCTGGGATCCCAGATCATGTCGGTGCCGTTTGCGTGTGCCCTGTCGTCCATCTCCTTGGTCCTGGCGTCGCGGTTCCTGTCGAAGACCTCAACCACTCGGCCGCCCCTGCGAAGATACTTCGAATACCAATCTGGTGCTACGAGGCCCACTCGGATGGTCTTCGCCCGTCTAGGAGCAGTCCTCGTCGCCACCGTTTGTGTCGTAATGACCATCATGGAACTCACCGTAAGCATTACTCTTTGCTTTTGCCCAACTCAAGGAGTATGAACTCATGCTTTTTGCACTGTACAGATTGTCTACCAGACTGCAGTCACCCATGCCAACGAACCCAATCACGAACATGTGATTCCATGGACATCTTCAATGGTTCCTCTCTTGACTTCGTACGCACTTTCCTCCTCTGAGCTCAGCTCTTACATCGACTTTTTTTTTCTGGAACTAATAAAGCATCCTTCAATGTATGTATATCACAGGATTGTTAGCATTGCAACCCAGAGCTATTTTTCCGACAAAATCCTGCACCAAGTCCAACGACCAAAACTCTTCTTTCCATTCCTAATTCTGCTGGGTCTTGGCTCCTTGTGCATTGGCACCGCCGCCACAATCTCCTTACGTAGGTTCTTATATTCTTTTTTATATAAAAAAGGCAGGGATCCAATCTAAACTTCTTTCTGTTTTCTGCTATACCAGTAATCAACCCGTTCCAAGGACCTACAGTCCGAGGAATCTCGGTGTCCGAAGGCCTGTTCTGGGCGTACCTCGTCATAACTACGCTCAGTAGCTTGATCATCAGCTTCATCCTCATAGGCTCATACCTGAAAGACCGAAGAGCCGCTATAATGGAATCGCAGCGCTCTGGCCAATCGTGAGCTTACCTCTACCACTTTTCCTTGACATATCAAAGTGTTTTCACTGACATTCTCTTGTTTTTTTTTTTTTTTTCAGTCCTGGATTTACAACGACGACCTCCATCCTCCGGTTCTTCCTCTCCACATACGCACTGGTTTTTGTGTTCGATTTGATGTGTCTGATCACGTCGATCGTCTCCGCATCTTCGAACTTCGAGGTCGCCTTCAATGCCAGCAAGGCGTTCCTAGTCTTACAAAAACTGATGGTACGAGTCATGGCAGTTTCCTATCGTAAGCTTTCTTTTCTCCTTGAGACAATTGGTGAAGAATGACGACATGTCCCTTCGTTGATTGTTTGACTTTTTCTTTCTTTCTTTCTTCATAATTAAACAGTATATGCTCTCTTAGACGGAGTGCCAAAGAATCCCATCTTCAGTCCGCCCAACGAAGCCCAGCTCAAAACCCTGTACTCGACGCCGCCCGAGCCGGGCTTCAAGACGCCCAAAAACACCGCCCATCCGGCCAAGCACTCGAAGTCCAAACTCAAAAACATCCAAAGCTCTGTCTCACGCACCTTGAACAAATACGAGAGCGAGAAGCATGTACGTGCAAATCCTGTCTGTAGTGTGGACAGTTGAACCAAGCGCGTACTCTTAAGTTTCCATGAAGTGCTGACTGTATCCTTGGTTTATCGTCTTGCTTGATAACTAGAAACCGCTGCCCATCGAAGACGAAGAGGGCGAAATCTTCTCGTACTCGTACCCGCCGAATTCCGCTTGTTCGATGACCGCCAAAGCGGTCAGAACCCCTGGGGCCGGCGTGAGTAAATTTTCCAATCTGATCCGACGAGAACGTTCTCATCACAAGGTAGCTTTAAAATACTAACTGACCATTTGTTGTTTCTTTTGGAATCAGAACTTCAAATATGATTGGGAGCCAGTGACGCAGAACCTGGACTACATCAACATGCCATCGTCAGCCAAGAGATCCCAAAACAACCTGTCGCCAGGAGTGAGTGTCCATCTTCCACGACGATTCATCTAACTTGATATTTTTTTTTATCAATCTCCAGCGCGGGAAACTAAAAAATGTGTCTTGTTTTGATCATTGCCAGCCCGGTTGGAAGCCGTCCCCGATAGGTTATGCTCAACATCCTCCAAGCTTGCCGTCGATCCCCCTTCAATTTAGAGAGAATCAGCCGCTGCCGGCGCTTCCAAACCAGTAATCAAACCCTCACCCGGGGTTGGAACTCTCCTTCAAAACAATTCGATCCCTTCTTTGCACACATTTATATATTTCTTTTTTTTTCTCTCTTTCCCACGGCACATTTTACAAACTACATCCTCAATTCGTTGGGATGATTCTTCACCTTTCTAACCACATATCTTTTGAAACAAAAACCTCTTACTTCTTTCTTTCTAATTTCTTTTTTTTTTGGTTTTTTGGTTTTTACTTCTTTTCTGGGAAAAAGAAAAATTTAATCGGATTGTTAATACCATGGTATACCCAATGTAACACTTTTTTTTTTCAAATTCAAAATTTGATATGCCTTTTTTATTCTTTTGATTCTATATATTTATATCTTCTGGGATGTTACAAATAATTTACATAATTTTTATTTCAGGTCAATATGAAAATTTTTAACTTTTGGTTATTGAAACAACCTTTATCATTTTATGAGCTTCTTCCATCATGCCATTCCATAACTTCTACTTTTGTCTTTGGGTTAGGAAGCAATTGCATTAAAGATGCTTGGTCAGCAGTGCGCAACTCGAAGGAGCTACCACATACATCGCAGAAGCTATGAAGGCAAGAGGGCGCGATTATAGGGAGTGCCATGGATATATGGGCTCTCATATCTAGTTAAGACCTTCCAAAAAAAGCTCAATGATGAATTTGCGAGTGGATTTCACAGATGTTCATTAGAAAGCGTGAGCACGTCACAATCGCTTGATTGGACATCTGGACAGATCATCAGCAACTTCCGTAGATCATCTCAAAGCTACCGCATTTGAATCATCGAGATCATAAGCCTCCACAAAAACAACTTTGTAAGCACACATTGAGGGTCTAAGAGGATTGCTTATAATTACAATGACCGGGTAAAGGTGGTATTGGTTATTCTAATCTATTAAGATATAGAGTTTCAAAAACAAGAAGAAAAAAAGAAGAGAACTTGTACATATCCATCGACTAAGCCGGCAGGAAGTTTGCAGATTAGGTATATTGTCAAAGACACTCTCAGAAATCAAAGTCTTGCGATTGAGCCCAAGGGGTCGGGTTTGGAACGCAAGATATACATCGGGAAGTCCCACTCAACCTGACAAGGCCAATTTTGAATATATGAGAGTATATATTATGTATATATTTACAGTCGAATGAGGAAGCTATCTGACAGGAGTGAGTCTGGGCTCTGCACTACCCAAGCGAGCCGTACCGACTCGTCCGCCTTCGTATTTTCCATGGACAGCGACCCGGCCTCCGAGGGCATGTTTCCTGAGATGGCCCTCGGCGAACGGGTTCCTCTTCATGTCTCGCAGCGCATCCCACTCCTTACGTTCTCTCCTGATCCGGCGGCCCAGGCCTTGCTTGGTATACCATTCCCAGGCGAGCTTCATCACCTCCCCATCCGCGTCCCATGGCGTCGGGATCTCGCAGTAGCCCGGCCCTGACGTCGGGTGTCGAAGATAGACCGACGAACAGAGACGGAAGGAAACTTCAAGATATGGCGGTATAAACAGGAATGGGGAGGCGTATGTCGGTAGCGTAAAGGTCAGATGTGGCTTTTTGGTCGATGGTTTGCCGGTTTCCTTCGATTCATCCGACGATTCTGTGTTGATTGTCGGATCGTCCTCATCGGCCTCCGGCACCACCTCAGGAGATTCGGCCGAGCTTTCTGTTTCGGAAGTTTCAGGCTTTTCGGTGGTATTGTCATTTTCTGATAGTGCCTCGACAGGTTCAGACTGCTCTGCGGAAGGGCTCGACTCCGTCTTCTTGGGTGCGGGTTTCTTCTTTTGGTCTAGGTCAACGACGTACGAATCGCCAAGGCCCTCGGGCCATGTTTTTCCAGGGTTGAGCATGGGAATTGCCATTGGGTCGACGGTAAACATATCGCCTGGGTGTAGCCGGGTCCATGGCGCATTGCACTATATCATGGGATCCTCAAAAAAAAAAAGTCAGGCGATGGCTCTCAACTCCTGCAAGAGAGAGAAAGAAAGAGATAGGTCTAGACTGCACCTTGACACCATTCAGCTTGACAGCTCCATGGATCACGATCCGGCGAGCTTCGTACACACTATCCGCAAAACACGATCGAAAGATAGCGACGTCCAATCGACGTTCGAGTTCCTGATACATCAGTGCGGCCAAGGGGACCTTCTCCTCTCGGTTTCCATAGCGGGATTTTTTCAGGGAAGATTTGACAGCCAGGGCCGGAAGGGAGGCGGGTAGATAGTGTCGCTTGAACTTCTTCTCTTGGATCCAATCCCCGTGATAGGCTCGTGTGACGGCCTTCGATCTCCACTTCTGCCAGTATACCGTCTTGGAAGACCTCAAGAAATTCGTGTCTTTGTTTTCCGGGCCGAAACTTCGTTGGTATAGATTGAATAGGTTCTGCGGGTTCCATGACTTGTTTTTTTTTTTTTCAATCGAGATATTGATAAACGTTTTGGCAACCTTGAGTATGAATTCTTCGATTTGGAAAACAGAAAGTAACTTACCATCCGAGGGAAAGACTTCTTGACGTTGAACGGATTCTTCAGCTTCCTCATCTTGGAATTCTAGTCGATCGCTAATAGATGGTCGTGGTACTGCCCGCCCAAAAAAAGTGCGAGTGGTCAAAAAACTAGCGGTGGTCGGGCGATCAGGCATGATTATGTAATCATCCAGAGGTGGCTGCGCACTGCACAGCGCAGATGTGTACCGGTGTCACGTGAGGGTTCACAAGGATGGGGCCTTTTCTCATGACCAAGAACTTCAGTGCAGATGGTTGGCTGCCCTGGATTTTGGGTCCTTGTTGCTCCATCCGTCTTGGTCCTCAACTCTGAATGAACAGCGACACCTCCCCGCATCTCATGATCTTGTTTTTCTGACACTTCCGTCTTCCTAGGGCAGCAAATTGGAGGCAGTCGCAGACATTGTACACCGAAGTAGGATGAAAAGATGACTTTCAATTATTTCAGTCTAATGACTAACTTTTCCTTTTGAGTGCCTTGATACACGAAAGTAGAATGATACAATTGGAGGAAAATTAAAGGGTAAAAAAGTAGGCGGGACCCCTGGGGCACTCATTACAATATAGACATATCTAAGGAATTCTTGATCACTATAAGCGGGAAGCATCAGAATTAGAGCGTGGACATAAACAATTTAGCAGAATGATTCTCGTGGCAATTCATGATTATCTATTGTTGAAAAGTCGTCGAGTGAAGAAAGCTGCAATCTCAGGCCTGAACGAGATTGTAAGGGATCAGTTGTCCGAACTAGATATATCCAAGAATCAAAGCAAACAAAGTGAGACATACCGATTTTTCTTGGTGTTTGTTAGGTTCCGAAGCGTCCTTCTTGAACATTCCATAACCGCCCCCAAGACCGCCAGCGTAAGCCAAGTTATTGTAGCCATTAAGTCCAAAGGAGTAGTCATAGTAGTAAGGGTAAGTGAGGTAGGAGTTTCCAAAGATCCAGGGGTTGAAAGTGTTGCCAAACGAGCCAAGGCATCCGAGGTAGCATTTCTCGTCCGATTGTCCTTTGTGGGAGGATGCGACTTGGTCGGCTCGCGGCGCAAGAGTCGGCATGGTGCAAAGAGCCGACTGAAGGACGGCCAAGAAGCAAGCGGCGTAGAAGAGGCTGTTCATGGTGGATTCGGGCGGTATATTTTTGGGGAGGAAGTGGATGTGTGCTTGTTGGGTGTGGAGTTGGATGTCTTTGGGTGATGGAGCTGGAGAGTGAGGGTCATACCGAAGCGCTTGAAGCGGTGCCTTAAATAGTTTTTTCTTGGTCGGTGAACTTGATCGTGTTATCCTTCCGAAGGCCTCTGGATTGGGTATCATGATTGCCTGCCAATGAAGACCTCCCACTCCTGCTAGATCAAGAAGAGATAGATAGATAATCTATGTACCGATGGACCTTTGTCTCAAGCGGAGCCGGCCCGAGCCTGCCACTCTACAACTCCCGTGAAGTGATCACATAAGTGATGCGCTCTGCCTAACTACCGAGCCCAGCAGTTTCGGTGGACCGCCGACCCACATACATACAGTCTTTAAGTTGACTTGAGGTCGTTGAGCTCCGATTCTCGGTGTTGCTACTTGGGACTTTGTTATTGTGTAATCACACCTACCATGAGAGTTGTAGAACGGTATGCTCGGCTTGAGACCATATTCCATTGGTACGTGGATTGTCTATCTCTTCTCGGTATGTGTGATCATCTATGTAGAGTGATAGGCCGGGCCCTTGGGTGACTGTGACGGTGTCCACACAGACGAACAAGACACTCGATCAAGAGGCCTTCACAAGAGAATCACACCCACCAGGAAAAAGCTATTTAAGGGCGCACCGCTTCAAGCGCCTTGGGTCTATCTCTCACTCACCAGCTCCATCACCTCAAGACATTCAACCCCAACAACACCCAATAAGCCTGCACTTGCTCCCCAAAAATATACCGCCCTAAGCCATCATGAACTGCCTCCTCTACGCCGCTTGCTTCTTGGCCGTCCTTCAGTCGGCTCTTTGCACCATGCCGACTCTTGCTCCGCGAGCCGACCAAGTCGCAGCCGCCCACAAAGGACAATCGGACGAGAAATGCTACCTTGGGTGCCTTGGCTGGTTTGGCAACACTTTCAACCCCTGGATCTTTGGAAACTCCTACCTCACTTACCCTTACTACGACTACTCCTTTGGTCTTAATAATGGCTACAATAACTTGGCCTTCGCTGGCGGTCTTGGTGGCGGTTATGGAATGTTCAAAAAGGACGCTTCAGAACCTAACAAACACCAGGAAACATCGGTCTGTCTCGCCTCTTTTTTTGTCTTCCGGATCGTTCAAATTATTGCAACTGATTCCTTGCAAATTTATTCAGGCCTAGGATCGTCGTGTTCTCGACTTGAGGACTTCCTAATTACGAATTATGTGTCACAACAGCAACTGATCTGTTAATCCATTGATGTATAGAATATGCTTTAATTCTCGTTTTTCCTATTCATAATGACCAAAGAATAAATATGTTCTCCAAATGTATCGATTCTTTCAATAAACAGCACTGCATATATATTTCACCTCTATGACTTTCCATTAATTGTATCGTTCCCCCTTTCATGTAACATCAATGCTGAAAGCGAAACTGATCCAGTAGACGAGAACCTTCATCTCTTCTTGCTACCTTTGATGTGTGTGCCGTGCAGAGAGTGAAGAGAGCGAAAAACAAGCTGAGATGTGAGAGATAGGGAGAGAGGAGCCGCTTTTCTATTCAGGGCCAACAACCATACATAGATGGAGCAACCAACCTCGGGTGCCAGTGCCCTGCAAGTTGGAAGCTGCCAGCGGCAAACACCAGAGTCCTTGGAGGTCCTTGGGGAAGACTTTGGCCCCTGGATCCCACTGATTCTATCCCCTTTCCATTCAACACCCACTTCCATCGGCAATCCAGCTCGACGGCCGTTCCTGAGCTCGTCCTCAGCTTGCATGTCACTTCCTTCAGCCCCAATATTTCTCTCAGCAGACAGCGGCACATGGATTGGCCCACAATTCAAGCAAATGGATGCCTGGTATCTTGCATGAATGGTCAATGCGAATCATAGGTTTGTAATGTTTGTTAATGTGTACCGATTTTCTTCTTTCAAAAAAATTAACTCTCCATGTGGCCGTTAGTTTCGGGTCCCCCGTCCCGTCTAGTGACCGGTGTTCTCTGCCAATGTCCCCCTGGAACCCGGGTTCCGGGACCGGGGGCGTTTGCTACAAAGATCGATTATGTAAGCCGCTCTCCCTCCCTCCCCGACTCAAGCCGACCCTTCAGCCTGCCCTGACCACCAACGACCATCATCATCATCATCATCACACAGCCCAGCTCAAGCACTCACACCCTCACCGAACTAAGCCCTACAGATATTTGAATTTGGAAATGGCCGCGAAGACGTGAGTGAGAAGTAATCCGAAGATTAAAGAAAAAAACAGTGTACTGACAGAACGAGTTACGATTGCCTTAAATGACGATGGATGATGATGAACTGTGGACGGGCAGTGCCGCTGTGGATTTCGCTCGAGTAGCCTCGGCGCTCAACTTGCCCCAATCGACACTCCAATCCCTGTCGGCATTCCGGGCACGAAACGCGGCGGCTAAGGCCTCCCTCTCGGCGCTCAAATCGCAGAAACAGGACATCGACTTCGCCCATTATCGGGCCGTCTTGAAGAAAAACACTCAGATCGTCGACCGCTTGGAGAAGGTCTGGAACGACTTCAAGCCTGCCGAATACGACGTCGCTGCTCAGATTAAGGCGATCGAGGCTTTCGAATCTAAGGCCGTGAGCTTCTTTTTTTTCCTTTTTTTGGCCCCCCTCCTAATTCGATCCTCCTGGCTTGCATTCTTACATCCATCTTCTTCCTCCTTCTGTTCCGGCCCCGATCACTCCTCTTTTTTTTTAGGTCAGTTCGGCCTCTGAAGCCTCCCAGAAGATCGAGGAAGAACTCGCGGCGCTCAATGCGACGCTCCAAAACATCGAGGGAGCCCGTCCATTCGACCAATTAACTGTGAGAGGCGCTTTCACACATACATACATACTCTTTTTGACGGCAAGATTCGGAGGACTGATGGTCATCTGCCTCTAATTTTTCCCTTTTTTTAACGACTGGTGATCTCTAGTTGTCGGACATCGATAAGGCCGAGCCCCGGATCTCTAAGACCGTCGAGACTATGGTCAAGAAGGGCAAGTGGACCGTCGACGGATACTCGGAGAAGTTCGGAAACCTTTCCGTCATGTAGTCCTGCTCACACTCCGCCGTAGTGTCTCCTTCTAGACTCCGCCATGATTCGCTCCTCTTCGGTCTTGTCCGACAAAAAAAAAACTAAACTAAACTAAACTCACTGGTTCTCGTCCCTTTGTCGACAAAATCTCTATCTCAAATTTGCATTCGTATTGTCCGCGAGACCCAGTCGATTGATCGAGTAACTTGAGATGGTTCGGCAGTGAATGATGTTGATACAAAAGTGACATTCTTGGGGTGAGTTGAGAGTTGAGGAAAGCCGTGCAAGCGTCGATATCCATCGCTCGGCCCCCAGAGTAGAGACCACAAGCCATTGTCACCATCCACACTGGATTACCAACCATGCATGGCGAGAAACACATGTACATTGCCAAATGAGTGAGCAAAACAGCCGGCGAAGCTGGAGTCCTGCAGTCACAAATCCCGCAAATCGTGCCATCATGAGCCTGTAACGGATCGCACTTGCAGAACCGGTGGAGATACCGCAAGTGTTAGGAAAATCTGGTGTCCAGTTGTGTTGTGTCTTCTTGACCTAGACTATGTACTACATAGGTGACCTTGTTCGTCAGCCGTTGGATGCGGATCCATTGGACCGTCCGTTGAACAGCACCTGGATCGTCCCAACCCTCGTCGTGGCCTTTTGACTGTCTGTCCGCCTTTTCCCAAAAAAAAGAAGGGATCCGGAGCGTGATTCGAAGTTGTACCGATTCTCCAACCAATCTTCTTTGTTTTTTTTTAAGATATCTTTGATTGCATGTAAGAGGTCTAGAGACGTTCTGGACTCTGCAGGGTGGCCAGACAAGCCTGTACTTTCCAATTATTAGTGTTTGGGCTTATTAGCTTTTACGTCTGATGATTTGGATGGATTCTTAAGTCTTTAATGTATTGCATTGGCATGATGGTATGGTATTCAAAGTCAACAACAAATGAACAACAAATAGTTTGAAGGAGGGGGGGGGGTCATTATCAATCCATAATTCTCAATTTTTTGTTTTTGTGAATAGATTCCGAAATAAGAAAGGATTCCTTTAATAATTACAAGAAAACCAAGCCAGAAACAACACATACACAAAAAGATGGTTATCTTCTTTGAGGGACGAAGGGGGGGGGGGACTCTACCCGATGAAACTATAAAAAAAGCAAGAATGCTCGAATGAGAAGCGAAGAAAAAACAAGACAAAAAAAGATGCGATTCCGATAGATAAAACGACTGTTCTGGGGGTTTTGTTGTTTAGATGCGATCTTTGTTCCAAGAGAGAGAGGTTTTGAGGGGTTTCCAAACCGACGCCTTGAGACGAATGGACCGTCGTTTGAAGTACTACAGAGACAAGCAGCGCGAATGGAGAAAGACAAAGCATAAATACCGAGGATGAAGCCTTTTTTTTCCAACGAAAAAACGGAGGGGATGAGAGATGACTTGCGAAGGGGAAGAACATCGGCGAAAGACAGATCAGCGAGATAAGGGCGTAGACGATAAATAGGCTCCCTGGACCGATCCGGTCGATCCAGTTCTGGCCATCCGAGCTCATGGCAAACGTGATGAGTCCTCGAAAAAGGACAATCGTCGAGATCACCTCACTCGCTATCGGACTCAAGATGTCGACCGTATATGTGAAGAGAATACTGGATCATGAACGAGACCAGTCAGCATCCCGTTTTTTGTTCTTTAATCCATCATTTTCCGAATGAGAATGTTTTGTTGTGACTTACCTAGTGTGGCCGGTCTGCAAACTTTTGATTGATCGGCCGCTTTTCCCAGCTTTTCCCACCGTTAAATGCGTTTTTTCTTCTTTTTTTTAGGGGAGGACCCCCAATTCTATTTCAGCACACCAGACCCTCCTTCACCTTGGTCAGCCCAAGTTTTGAGTCCTGCCAAACCATAAGAGACTCTTGTCAACAATCATTCAAGTGTGTGAAGTCCACCCTCACCAAGTAATCCTGTAAGTAACCACTTCCTATTCCAATCTTCTCTCTCCAGTTCCCTCTCTGCCAGTCCAAGTTGGTGGGAGCTATCATTCACAAGTTCACAGATTAAATGATGATCAAATTAGAATAGAATGAACAATCCAACTCCTAAACCCATTCTGCTTGAACCTATATTGCTTCTTCAATGAACCATGTAGGTTTGAGCTTGAGGACCTAGTCTACACTTGACCTGATACAGTCCCCATGCCTGCCTATTCCTTCTCATCCTCCTGATTTGTACCTTGCCTAAACTGACCTCATGCTTTACCCATAGTTTTTTAGTAGTTATATTCTTTAATGATGGGATTTTTTTGGCATGAAATATTGGGTTAGTTACCAATTCCTTTTGTATTCTTTCCCCTTGATCTTGCTCTGTGTGATGATACAATTACAAATCGATTAGTCTTTCAGATATATAATGACGACACTAATTTTTTTAAGTTTCAGCCTTGTCTGACCCTTTGCAACATACCCTCCCCAATCCTACTCTCCACTCATGAAGACCTTAGAATACTTACTTTTGTTTGCCCCCCCTGTATTTGTCTGATTAGGTTCTTGCACTTAATATTCTCATTGGAAAACCACAGGTTAGCTGTAAGTCACTTTGAATCAATATTTTTTTCTTTTCTCTTCCTCCTTTTTTTACCCTGGCTTCATGATGAAACCTTTTTCCGACGGGCGGACATAAATTGTTGCACTTATATAAAGGCTGCAGATTCTAAAGTGTACAAAATTTATAGACTGTTGGCTGGGTGTGACTATCTGTTGATATTTTTTTGTTCGGTCTTCTGAATCTACAACCCTTCCTTACATCTCTTCTTTCATTACTTGTATTTTGTTTGATGCAAAACTAACCTGTTGCTTGTCGTTGCTGCTGTTTGATTGTCACAGGTTTTATATGTTTTGTTGGAGCCCGAATGAGGTTTCCTAGGTTTATTTGTTTTCTGCTTTTATTTGAATGTCACTTGTAGTTTTTCTTTGATTATAACCTTTGTGCTTAGTTACTAAAACTTATTCAGAAACAAGAAGTTAACACTTTAATTTTGATCCTCTGTCCTTTCAAAGTCTTTGCATGAGATGTTTCATTCAAAGCTGGAGCAATTTGTCCCTCTGTGAGGTTGAGTTTTATTGAAGTATTATCAACTGGTATGGTCTGAACAAGCCATATCTGCCTACCATGATATTATGATTATGTCCTCTCATCTGGGAAGTGATTTCAACTTCAACTGCCAATATTATCTGCAGATCATGTCAGAATTTGGGGATCTTCTCAAGTTCATTCCAGGCATTGTTTTGCTAAACTGATTGGCTATAGTCACTTCCAATGTTCACTTTTGCAGATCATTTCCTAGACCCCTTGATCTGTTCCTTGTAATGTGGAACTTCTCTTATAACTAGTGTAATGTTTTGAAGAGAACATATATTCATTCAAATTTTAAGTGCAAATTCCAAGAGTGTTTATATTCTTTGTCTCACCCTAGCTGCTGTTGCAGCACAGACTGTATCCCTGTTCATAGTTGAAAAATGGTGGATTTTTCCAAACCAGTTAATTAAATAAAGGTGGATTTGTTTATATTTGATACCCCCTAATAATATTTTTTTTGGGCATTGATAAAAAAAACACATGTTTTCTGCGTTTGGACATGGTTTTGGTGAAAATCTTCTGCAGTGAGCTTGGTTTGCTTGAGTTTAGTGTTGTGAAGGATGGATATGCAAGTACACGGTGGGCACAATTTTGGACTTGTATTGGGTCAGTGAGCTGTCATGGTCAGAAATGAGAAACCCTGACCAGAAAACCCCAGCAACATGGGGACCAGCATTGGGACAGTGAAACAATGGCGTCAGTCAAGCGCACAGCCAGACAAAAGTCAAGAGAGTAAGATTTTAGACTAGTTGTTTTTGGTGTGGGTGATGGCATTGATGACAGTGTCACAGAGAGGATTGTGTTTGAGACAGTAAGACAACTCAATCCTTGGTGGTTGGTCTGTGCGGGGATGATCAGAGCAATATTGCCTTTGGCTATGGAAGCTCAGAGGGGACACAAATCGCGCCAGCGCCAAATCGCGCCAAACCCCGATATTTTTTTGATCTACCAAATAAAGATGGCCCCGTGGGACCCGGGTACCGCCTACGTTTTTTGCCCAAAATAGACACCAGGTACCGCACCCGCAGCCTGTTGGCGGGTACCGGCGGTACTGGCGGCGGGTACCGCGGGTACCTGACGCCAAAAATGCAGTATATTACTCTAAGATTCAATTTAACATTTTTTTTTTTTTTCAATTTATACTAAATAAGAGTTTATCCTGTCTCAATTTCAAACACACCCTCTCTCAGAAGGGTACTTTGCACCAAAGATGCAGTTTAACAAACCAAAAATGCTGTTGAGCATTGTTTTTCTTTCATTTTATACTAAATAAGTAAGAAAGATTCACTTTTTTTATTTCAATGAATAAAAAATTATCACATTTTTTCTCTTCAATAAATAAAAAAGTACCACATTTTTTTTCTTTTCAATTCATAAAAAAAGCTGTTTGTTTTTTTTTTTCTTTGCAATTTATAAATTTTATACTAAATAAAAATCTTTGAAGTCCCAAGCACTCCCACAAAATCAATCTTCATCGACTACTATAACTTTTCTCTTACCCTTCTTCTGCATCTTATTATCTTCATTGATTCCATGTTTCCACCGAGCCAAAATACCCTCTGGAATCATCTTGTTCTTCAAATAGAAAGCAACAGTCATCCCCCTGCTTAAAGATTTAGCAGCAAGCCTGTGCCTCTTCAATGTCACATAGTCGCGTCCAAAACTGAATGCTCGCTCGACATCAACGGATGTTGCTAGAAATATGAGATGTGATTTGATTCAGATTAGGCATGCAAATATATCAAATTTGTAAATTGGCCCACTCACCAAGACAACTTAAGACATCCAGTGCCATGTGCAACAGGCCCCCATGTGTGTTTCCAGAGCGCTTCTGCTGTATCCACCACTGCAAAGGATTCACCGGATTTCCATCTTCAAGGATAAGTCCACCGGCAAGCCACACATCGAGTGGGTCAGATGAGCTTAGGCTCCCCCGCTTAGCCGCTGCGTTTCCCAGACCAGCAAGCATTGACGTCCTTGACTGTGACATTGATGATCCCCTTGGTCAGATTATGCTCACACTGACACTATTGTAATACAACCAGAGAACTTACTTTGGAGCCTGGTTTGGGTGCAGCAGTGGGAGTGTTTGCACTTCGCGGCTTGTAATGAGTGATCCACATCTCCCGCGCAAGTCGTATGGCCTCGGCGATCCATTCCGGCTCCCAGTTGGCCAATTTGAAGTACTCATCCCTAAAGGATGGGTGAAGCACTGAGGAAAATAAAATCAGCTGTGAGCAAGAGAAGTAACATTATACTTATAGTGTAAATGACCTGCATATTGCAATTCGGTAAAGAGGGGAGGCATCAGTCAGGCTATAATACTTGTTGGTAATCTTCAATCCAGATCGGCAGGCATTCCTCAATGCTGGAGGATAATTGGGGTTGATAATTGCAGTTGACAGATGATCAGTGATTTGATCGATGAAGACAACAACATTTGATATTTGAGTCGACCCGGCCGTAGAGATTTGCAATGTTATTTCATGGAATAAGTCAAGTACTTCAACCAGATCGCGCGCCAAGTCAAAGTCGTTCTGGTCCACAAAGTACTTGCGTTTCATACCATGCCTTTTATGACGCTGCCACTCCAGACTTCAAATTGAAATTAAATTGTTTGGTTAGATTATTATTTCTGATTGATTACAAATGAAACTTCAAAGGAATCAACTCACATTGCAGCCTCACATCTGATGACACTTCTCAGTTGAGCAGCCGTTGAATTCCATCGAGTACGTACGTCTCGTTCAACCATGTGTGGGGTAGCACACTCTTTGTCCCGACAGGTTTCGACAAACTCGGCTTTTGAATTCGGCGAATACCTCAACTTCTTTGCAATTGCCCGAAACTTTGGCAAAGCAAACATTAGTAATGGCACCATCTCGTGTAAAAGACATGAGGAATATGGCTTACTTTGGCTAAAGTTTCCTTGCAGGAGGTGCTCGTGTATCGATCCTTGTCACCTTCATCACTAGCGTTATCGATGTCTGCGTCGCTGAGAGTATCGTGGTCTTCTTGAGCTGGTTCTACCTCAGATTCTCCATCACTGGAGTATTCATATTCCTCTGGAGAAGTCTTATCCCCACGGGCCAAGCCTATCAGATTCAGTAGGGAAATGCATCAGCTAAATATGAAAACTTGTAAAGGATGGAATGAATGACCTACAATCTGATTTGTCCCTCAGTGTGGTCATCCTCAGAACAATCCTCGCCGGAATCAATACCCCCGTCGTCAGTGCCTTGGCCTTGTGGGGTGGGTTTCTTCTTATGTGTTCCAAATTGGCGGAGGATTGACTGGACAATCAGGTTGAGGATGTGTGCGAAACATCGGATCCAGTGTGTGTCGCCCTTGAAACGTGGCCACTTCAGGTTTTTGAGGTCCCGTACCAATACCGCATTGTTCATTGCATTATCGCTCACAAGCCCACATATCTAAAATATATAAATATCAATTTGTCAGCCTGGGAACAGGAGCATAAAACTTAGGAAACAGGGGCTTACTTTGTCTGCAGTTCCAAATTTCTCAACCACCTGCCCAGCAATCTCGGCCAGGTACTTGCCTGTGTGACACTGAGTAAGTGAGATGAAGTCCAATGGCATCGCCTCGAGCTTGAAGTTGCTGGGGTCGTCCTCAGCTAGTCGGTAGATGACAATGCCCAAG